ATAAATCCTCAGAGGATCCTGATATGAGCTCAGCTAAAAACGTCAAGAAACCGTTCCACTCATTCTTGCTAGTTCCCTGACAGGATCCCAGCACCTTAATTTTGAATATCTTCTAAATATAAACCTGGAGAGCCCTTAACGAGTTCCTTGTATTTTCTTATCTAGATCCTGGTCATACTTATATTTTTTGAAGTATTCGAAGTGTACGCTCCTGAACAATACTGCTTAGGATCCTGATCGGAGTTTGACAAGATTTATTAGTTGATGACTCTGCTTAATCTTATTTCATTCCTGGTATGATCCTTTTCTTCTACAAACTACGGCTCTTGATAGGATCCATGTATCGGAATCTGGCACAGATCGTTAGTCAAACCTAATGAAATCTTGAAGAAATCCTCAGTATAATTTATGTCAAATTTCTGAGTGGGATGGACTATAGATCTTAGCAGGATCTTGCAAAATCAATTCAGAAAAAGATCTGAGCAAGAACTTGAACAGATCCTAGTGAAAATTCTGAACTGAACCTGACAGAATCCTTAAGTTTTACGATTCTCCAAATTTCTTCAAGATTCTCTCAAGAATGGACATGGATAAGCGCACTAAATAGCAATCTGTAAAGATCTTTACTAAATCCTTATATTTTCTTATTATAATTATAGTTAAGATTTAGATTGCGATAGAATGTTGAAACAAGAATAATCTTAGAAAGATCTTATCAAGATCCTGGTTATAACTTAACAGGATTACTCCGTTTCATATATCTTGGCAGAATCCTCTCTCATACTCTTGAGTGGATCCTTGATAGGACTTTGAGTAAATCCTGAAAGGATCTTGTATTCTCAATTCAGAAAAATATCTGAGGAGGAACTTGAAGAAATCCTGAAAAGGATCCTGTTTTACATTAAAATATCCTGGAAGCATGTTATGATCTGCCATTCCTGGCAGCTCATAAGACTATGTTCTCTTCTTCTTTTCCTTTCTTTCTGCTCTTGCGCAGTACTTGTGTCATCCTCTGGTTTTCCCATCTCTTTCTGTTCTTGCGCAACTCCTGCGCAACTGTTGCATAACTGTTGTTCAACTTGTGTACTATATATAGTCGTTCACTTATGCAAATAAATATGAGAAGTGAGTGAGTAGAACCTCACAAAGCAGGAATTGGTAGGATTCGAACAATGATCCTAAATAAAACTTGATAGGATCCTTGAACTTCAGGATCCTGAAAGATCTTTCCAGGATTTCTCAAGGAATGAACAGGATTGAAACTAGGGTAGTTTGAAGATTTACTTCAGGTAGAATACTCAAATCCGCTCAAATGCAAGTCAACTCATCTGAAATACTGGGATCAAATTGAATTTGATGTAAAAACTCAATTTGACTAGAAAACTGGTTGCTGCTTTGGTAACTCTATATGAATTCTTAGTGAATACCATGAATTCGAATTAACTGAGGCTTAAATTAGTGCATCGTTACTTATACTTCACTAATACTGCGTTGTAGACTTTTGTGCTCTCCTGGTGCTTCGCTTGTACCCAAAATTATTTTAGGGTATATGGAGTCTCGCTACCCTCTTGCAACTGACACACGAAAAACAATCTTTCTCCACTAAAATCTCTTCACTTCCAGAAGTGCTTCTTCTTAGCAATTACGCGCTTTTCTACCGTACAGACTTTCACATGAGGACCTACCCAGGTCCAATAATGCGGGCAGTAGACGGGTGTTTTACATGGTATATATGGTCATCGTCAGGTTCTGTAATACTGACCGTGTTAAAACGTCTCAATACCGTAAACATACGGGCAAAAAATATCCGTTTTTGCAACGTAAACTGTCGTAAATGCCGTCGTAACGGACATCGTTTTGATCGACCTGGGTTAGGTAAATACAAACAAAATATGTTTGCCGATTCACAGAGAAATTTCGTATTTATTCAAGAAACACTTCAATTTTCTGAATTTTATTACAGTAGCATCTATCTAGCTCCGCCTTTTATTAACGAAAACATCCCGACAACGTTCGCATCTAAGCAAAAACCTAATGTGGAGTAAGTACATCATTTCTAAATTACATCCGGTTGAAATTGATAACTACAAAGTCCACATTACCATTGCGCGATTACAATTGAACTTCGTTTACTCCCTTCTATACGAACGATGCTCATGATGATAGACGATATAAACAAAAATTACTTTATGTGAGTATTATATTTAGTAGAATAGAGAGCGTATAAAATGATTATAAAATAGATGAAAACGATCAATATTCGTTATCATATGTTAAGAAGCACTAATATCTCTCAAGGTTGGTTTTAGATATAGTTATTGATTGCGGACCAACTACTAGAGATTGCATGTACATCTAGTACTCTTCGTAAAGTTGTACAATATCACTGACGAATAGAAATAGAAATACAACTTTAGAAATTTGGTAGTTTACTATCAATAGATTTCTGTGTTTTCATGCTTTGATGTTCATGAAAAACATAATTTATCGACCAAAAAGCCTTTGAAAGCTTCAATAGAACCTTCTGATGGACTCAGTTTGTGTTAAACATAAATAGGATATTAGATTTTATTTTTGGCACCGTTTCGTCAGACCAAAGTGAACGGACCAACCTTACAAATATGTGAAAGTAGCGACATTGTGACTCTAAAAAACATATTATAATGAACGATCTTTTATTTCTTGACTTTTCTTCTAACATGAAACAAGAAATGGCAGGGCCCTATATATGGTTTTGTAGAGCAGCTCGCGCACTATCGAATGGTATATGATACTTTGAAATTTGGTAAAGGTTTGGTAAAAATATGAGACAAACAAAAAAGCTTTGAAAAATTGAGCAATTTTGATGAATCCGATTATAGTGGTTTCCTTGTACCTTGTATATCTCCACACTAGATTATTATAGGACCTCAATGTTTTGGCTCTTATATACAAACACTATACTCTTGATTGTAAATAAAGGAAAGAAGAAAGGCATGATTTTTTTTGTTCGAGAGTGCTTGTCAAAAGAAAAAATGAATTTGAAAGTGAATGATGTTTAATGCAAATATTTTTGTTTTTTCTAACTTTCTTCCACCTTTTTGTCCTAACCAAATCATACGTTCTGTCGAAACCGGCAAGTAGAATACAATTCTACACTGCTATAGAACAATAATTCTCACTAGAATGCCTACGTGGACTATTTTAAGTAAGAAGAAAACCGAAAACAATCGTAGTCCACAGACTGTATGGATATTCAAGGATGGATTCTGTGTCGAATCGTTGGAGTTCGAAGAATTAGACAAGTCTAAACGCAATATCTTCATAACTCAATACAACAAAATAAATTGCCAGAAGCTCTTTTGAAGTCACCTAATTATCCTGGTGATGATGTTGATTACCATTTCGAAGACAGACAAAATGAAACTGGTAATTCGTCAGCGTGGCGAAGCTATGAATCTGAGGAGATTGAGTTAAAGGAATACGATCCGGAATGGCCAAAGTTATATCAACAAAAATACAAAACAATAATAGTAAGAAACCAGAAAATTTGTGCTGATTCATCGATTGTTCATATTTTGACTCTATTTTTGTTTTAGAACAATCTTCAAATACAGGGATACAGACCTAAAGCTCAGCCACTGCTGTTAGAAATGGAACACATAGGTAGTACCAGCGTCGAAGGAATGTGTGCAAAGCCGATCATTGATATGCTGATAGTTCAAGGAAATCCTAGAGATGGCTGTAGTCCTACAACTTTTCGTGACACGATCAAAACATTGATCAATATGGGCTACAAACTAAAAACCGTGGAGGAATATTCATTCTATGCTGACGAATGCACTCTGATAAAGGTAACATGTTTTTAGCGGAAAAACATTCATTGCGTAGCTCATTAACAAAGTTTGTTTTCTAGAAAGGATTCATGATTCATTGGTTTTCGTGCTTCCGGGGAGAATCAGAAGAAATTAATTTCATTATATTTCGTGAGTAGCTGCGTACTCATCCTGATGCTCGTAATAAATACAATGAATACAAGAAACGTATAGTTGCCAATACTCAACACATGACAATCAAAGAATACCCAAGTAGAAAGGACTGGTTCGTTAATAATTTACTTGAAAAAGCTGTTAAGTGGTTCAGGCAACACCAGAATTATGTTCATATTGGTGACTTAGATGAACTAACGAAGCAATGGTCATGTTGTAACGCATTAGAAGATGAAAATGGCACAATGGATGAAGGCATGATATCTGCAGTAAGAGGCTATATTGGCTGTTGTCAACCAGGATTGCAAAAGAAAAGCTATCCTTCCGGCCGATATTATAATACAGAATATAATTTCGTCAGAGGATGGTGGACATGTTGTTCTCAAGGACGGCATTCAAATGGATGTGTCCTACTGCAAGATTTCGGTGTATCCACACTTTTAAATCGGAAAATATTTTTAAAAGCTATCGATGAATTGAAACCATCACCGTAGCACAAGAACAAAGTTATCATATTACCAGTTAATCCAGATTAATACTCAGTCAAAAAAAGCCGTAGATACTTGAAATTTTCAGCGCTAGTCTGAAAATTTCAGATTTCTAGTACGTTTGGTTCTTGAGTTATATGAGTTTTAATATGGTGTGCAAAAACAAAAGTTTTTTCGCCCCAAACGCACGGTTTCGTAATGGTGCAATGTAAGAGAGCGCAAATTCTGAAATTGACTTAAAGCTATATCGCCTCAAGTTTCTTTAATTAGCAATTATCTTTTGTAGGCGTACGAATGAAAATAGTTATGCTTTTTACATGTGTGCCAGAACTAAATTGAATATTATTTGTCTGTAGGGCAGGACCAGAAGAAATGGAGGCTTACAAAAACTGATTTAAATCTATAAAAGAAGCTATGACCAGAGGTCTGTATCCCTGTATTTGAAGACTGTTCTAAAACAAAAATAGAGTCAAAATATGAACAATCGATGAATCAGCACAAATTTTCTGGTTTCTTACTATTATTGTTTTGTATTTTTGTTGATATAACTTTGGCCATTCCGG